CCCCTCCCCCCCCCCCCCCGCCACTCCAGCCCGAGCGGCCTCTTTCTTTTATCTTTCATGTCTGGTCCTCCCAAACGGAAACCCTGGTCGAAAATCTTACAGAAGCAAACGGAGATATATATTTTTTTTTTTCTTATCTGCGGAGGATGGCAGAGGAGTGACGGCAGGGGGGAGGGAAGTGTTTGTGGAGTTGGTTTTGGTGTTGTTTTTTTTTTCTTTCTTCTTTTTCTTTTTGCAACACTAGTTGTTGAGGGGAGTGTCTTGCGTTATTAATGCTGAGTGGCTCCGGCAACTACTGTGGTTTAAGGTCGTTAGTCATCCGCTGCTACCGCAGGAGAGACGGGAGCGCTGAGCCAGAGCTGTTCAGGCAACCCTCTTGGTCCTCCCAGGCCAGCAGGTTGGGAAGAGCCGCAAACGGGGCAGCGCGGGCGCGTGGGGGGTGCGGAGAGAGGCCCCGGGGCCATGGGGACACCCTGCCAGCCCGGTCATGGGGTGCACACGTGTGGGGCAATAACCGGGTTGTGGTGGTGGGAGGCTGCACAGCCACCCCGAATGGCCTGAGAGGGGCCGAGTGGTGTGCGAAGGGCAGGGAAAGCACCTGTGATGTGCGAGCGCGGGATCCTCCGTGCACCCCGTGCGAGGGCAGGCGTGTGTGCCCCTGCCTGGGAAGCAGTCCTTGCATTACACATAGCTACACAGGCGCACGAGTCTCCTGTCACCTCAAGCTGCTAATGACACAGGGATGCAGGATGCTCCCTGAGCATTAAGGGAATACGGGTCCATGTGCGCCCTTCCCACCTGATTTCTTCCTTTTTTTCCTTCCTTAGGATGAGGGGCTCTAGGCAAACATTCCTTAATTTATTCTGCATCCTCTGGCTCCCGTTTCTGCTGAAGGCTGCCTCTTCCTCCCCTCTCCCCCACGGAAATGACCCACCACCCCCTTCGCTCCCCTCCGGGCTGCACAAAGGACAGACCTGCATCGGTATGTATTCAGGTTTTGTTTGCCTGCTGGACTCGTTCATTTGTTACTCCACCGGTGACCTGAGAATTGCTATGCACATCGTAAATCACTCCTTTATCTGTTTCAACAGCTGTACTGCAAAATACTTGTAGTCTTTGGTGAAATAATCAGTGAAGATTTTGCAAGGCCAGCATGGGGTCTGGAGTTATTTTATGATTTTGTTTTTGAGTGGCTGCTTCCCAAAGTTCATGTTTTTGCTCTGTGGGGAATGGCGTCTGAAAAGCTGGCTTTAACGTCTGTAGGTCTCAGACCTGGAAAGAAGGTGTTATGGGGTCCTAGTATTTGTTAGGGTTCACAATGCATTTTGCTTAATTGCAGGAAGGCACAGTTTCCCTCAGGCTTGCCCAGGGTGTCCTCCTTGATTTCCTTGCCTGGGAAGCTATTCTTATGAATAGTTGGTCCATACATGGGCCAGATAGCTTTGTGGTCCGGGTGGTCGTCTCTGGATAGCCAAATTGTGAGGACTGTTTCCTGCCTCACATTTCCTTTCCTTTTCACGAGTGCACGTGTCTGCGCGACCCATACTTAAAATGGGGCGAGCGTGTTTTGGCAACCCCTCTCTCGTGTGACTTTGGTGACTGTGGTGATCTCCACAGCACCTATAGCTGGGGGTATCCTATAGCCTCAGCTGACTGACTGATTACCAAAGCAAGACCAGTAACACCAAATTCAACATGAACTGTTGGTATCTCTGCACCAGAAATGCCCTTGGCATGAGACTCTGTATACCTAGAGAGATGTGGTAGCTTATATTTTTTATGTGAGCACATGTCAAATGATGGATATGTCTTATGCATTATGGTCAAATGTTTTATTTTGTCTTTTTTTAGCTTTTCAGGGCACTTTTGTGCTGTAAACATAAACCCTGTCATGGTTCTCAGTCCTTCAGAAGGAAATATTTCCTATCAGCCCCAAATTATTTTCACTGTGGCTCAAGGAACACAATTAGAAAAAATAATCCTAACGTTGATAAAAAGAGGGTTTTTTTGCCTCATTTATGAACTGTCCACAGTGCCCCTGCAGATTTTGGCACCAGAGAGGCTGGGGGAACCGAAGGCGGAGCGAAATCAGGGTGATG